GGCAGCCGCTTAGTCCGCGGAGAAGAACTGGAATAACATGGTTCATCATCAGCAGCAGCCAGCTCCATGGCCTAATTTCGAAATAAGCCAGGGCGTTTATTAAAGATGACAGCTTGGGACCAATTAAATGCTAATCCCGAGGGTTGCAAATTAGGCATACTCGGGTTAAGCTACCCGCCTCGATTAAATGCTCAAAACCCATTGCGAGATGCGAAGAGCTCCGGAAAGCTCGCCGAGGACATGGCGAACTAGAGCGATCGCCAAGGGCGCGATGTCCAGGGGAGGACCCTGTCTCGTGATTTATAGTTTCTTTCTACTTACCTGCCTACCTGTCTCGCGACACGCCGAAAACTGGCTTGCATAGGCCGAACTATAGGTACTAGCTTCGACTTTCTAGAAGAGCCGGGCCGATTCGTATTGTCCGGACGGGCCAAGAGACAATGCCGGCGCGTGGCAAAGATGGCACCGGGCCTGGATCGCGAAAGCTTAGATTGATTTGATTTTACTATATCGTCGCTAAAGCGGAACCCTCTTCTCGGCGACGAGTCTACCGAAGAGAGAACTTGATGAACTTGATATGCCCAATGCAGTATAGCAGCTAACGTTCGCGGGTCACCTCGACACGTGGTGGATAGCCCAACCGAGTCTAGGTTTGAAGAAACGTTGCAGACATATACCGAGATCCTTGGTTGATGGCGAGAAAGCTCGCAGGACCTACTGGTTTGAGGATAAGATCGGCAAGTTCCTCAGTTCATTTATGTCGGCCGCGTCTAGCAGATGATATCAGCCCGGCACTCCAACCAGTTATTTACCATAGTATTGGATTTTGCGCCAGTATCGGCTGTATTATTAACTGCGTCCTTACCCTTCACGAACCACCTCGTCGACCCATCCAGCCATCGTCAGGTTGGTAGTAGTCGGCAATGGGAGGTGGACAAATCAAAACGTAAGATGCGTAAACATGGCTTTACCGAGCTCTACGTTCGTCTCCCCCTCCGTCCCCCTTTGTCCCCCTTTGTCCCCCGGACGTGAGAAATTCGCTCCGGGTTGCCTCGGTGTTCAAGTTGTCTCGAATGTCGACTAGAGGATACTACTAGATGAGAGTGGCTTGAGTGGACATGAGAGATGCTTCGGGGCAATGCCGCGGCAAATCCGTGCCGTTTACAGTGTAGCCCACATCACATCTCGGTCGCCCTACACGGCTTAGGCCGTACTTGGCGTCACCCGAACATCGCATGTGGGCCAATTATACATCCAGTCATACATCCAGTCCCTGATTGCACATTACTTCCCACCGGCTGCCTAATTGGGATACTTCTCCCTAGAACCGTAGAGGCGTTAACGAAAAAAGAAAAAAAACTAGAGGTTCGGTGATAGTCCCGGTATAACAGCCTGTATATTTTCTCCTTTTTCTTGGTTATAATGGACTATTGCCATCTTTTGCTGTTATAATATCAGCATTGATAATTTTTTCCCCTTCTTTTCCCTCGTTTTTCTTTTTAATCGTGTAAATTTCAGATGTAGCTACGCCTTTTTGCCTGACATGCCCGTCACAGTCAGGCCGTCAAATCATGAGTCGACATCCTGGGCAGGTCGCAAATATCGACTCGCATCGTCGCCCGATATCTTGCTACATTACACGCTAACCGACGACACGCGCACCAGCCCGCCGCGGGCCAGACAGTTGGTACAGAGCTCGTTTGCGGGGCTCGAGAGGAAGGATAACGTCTTCGCTACTAAGAATGGATTTGTTCATGCGTGCGTGGACGCGTATAATGAGCATCATTGCCTGGTGATAAGGCCGGAGGATGTCTGGTTCGCTATCCTAACGCAGTTTTGCTCCTACGTTAACGGGCACGCGGAGGAGCTGCGCAAGCGATTCTGCACCTACGAGGGCCAACAGGAGTTACATATCGACGTCGATCTAGACGACGCCGACCATGGCAAATTGGCGTATATAATGACGAAAGTATTGGGCGAAAGACTGCGGGACGAGCACCTGCAACAATGGGTCCTGCCGGCTTTCACGACTACGACTAAGATAGATCAGGCTGTCGCCAGCATCATATTCATGGGCACGATGCAGAAGTATTTCACATATAGTTGGGGAACGCGATGCGGAATACCGTCCGTAACCTTACTCGGCGAGGAAAGCGATTGGACTAAGATCCGGGAGCGAGTTGAGCGGCTGGAGACTTTAGGCTCGGAACCGTCTCGATGGCTTCGGCTACTTAGACCTATCTTAGACGGGTTTGTTGCTAGTTTCAGAGACCCAGAAGGTGAGACCACAAGAAGGTTCTGGCAGGGCATCTGCAACGAACAGGTACCTAACGGTAGCGGTACTACGACTTACTCGGGATGGATTACATCGTTCTGCTTCTGGGACGAGAGCGGCAGATGTCTACACGGAGCAAAACCGGGGCAGGAGGTTGGGTTGACGAGGAGCCAGATGCCGAGCGGGTTCAGCAAAGTGCCAGTGACGCTGCTGAAGGACGGCATCGAGATCCCGACCGAGATGGTGGCCGGGTCGATGGCGATCCGAGCATTTCGATCCAAAGATGTGGTCAACGCGGGTGATAGGCCGCAGATACGCCGAAGCGCCGGAAATGATACGATACAACCCGAAGTCGGATGGTTTATGTATAAGACATGACATGACCCTACTAGGGGATATGGTAGCATCTACTACTACTATAACTAATGGTAAGTTATAAACCTCGTATATGCCTTGAGCCTTGAGAGAATTAAGAGACTACGTTATCCACTTTTCTCCACATGAACCAGGCAAAGAACGGAGTAACTAACCCTTTTCTTATAGTATAATTGTAACCCGTTCACGAAGCTAAGAGTTAGAGTCCCTGCGACCGCGAGTCGCCGGGCTGACTCTCGGATTCATTTATGCCCGATCATCTCAACTCTTTCCTGGAAAGGGTAGCTTTAATAGCACTTGAAGGACGATGCACCTATACGAATCCCTTCCTAATTCTTAAGGGGATATAATATCGACCTTACAATGCTCCCTCCGATCTACAATTACGTAGAGTAGATAACCCCGCCCTATATTAGAAGCGGCCGGGTTCGCGGTCAAATACTCGGACTTGTGGGGGATGGTCGTGGCTATCGGGCCGAAGTCTCTGTTTGTCGTAGGTGGATAGCGCGGAGTATGCATTCGCTGTTCTTCCCCGCTTCGCTCGCGGTGGAGGTGGCATAGATTTGCTATTTATCATCGCGTTGATCCAATGTTTACAGGATACTGGTCCTGGCTTTTTTTTTTTGGTCGGGGGATACTAAATATGTATCCTAGAGTCTGGCAAAGATAGGTATCGCGAGGGACGATACTTGCTGTATAACAAGAGGCGACGCCGCCGAGGGGATCATAGCGTATGAGCTATGGGCATGGGTGTCGTATATATAGCTAGCTACACGACTCCGGACTTAATGGTTATATAGGGAGTGGATACCCAGATGACGGAGCTCTCGGCTTTTCGGAGGAGTCCTGTCGAAGCCGGGCTTCGACTCCGATTAGGTATAGCGCGATGTTATGTATAGGCTACGATGTCTTCTCACTTGGATGTATATATATATATATAGGTACATATGTACATATGCTTTTTTGATGAGGCTATACGTCACCATAGGTAAATAATAAAGCTCCTGACGCCGTATAGTCTACAAGGATTCTATCACAGATGCTACACGTTTCTATAGAGCTTTGACGAACTTGTTGGGACGAAATATTACCGGCTTTGCATTTTATTTATGACGGTATGGCTTGTATTCGACGAATGTAAGTTTTTAGGACTTCTGCCATATCTACCCTTCATTATTCGAATCGTCCCGTGGTCTACTAACTAGTAACCCCTGATATGCTTACGACTTTTTTCATATCCTATGTATATAGGCTCATAAGTCAATACTAAGCCAGGGGAATATACAGGAAGGATTTGAAGGGCTTTCAAGAGGAGAAAGTTAAATCTACGAAGTTACGTGAGTAATGCAAGATCACCGTAACAGCAGCAACAGTAAAAGCCAACCAGGAATCCACACCAGCCATACTCTCAAGACTACCGCACCTAACAAGGTACCGAGTATAAAGGGGTAAAAAGAACCACAGCGAACAAGACCTAAGTCGTCTCTCCTGGGATAGTATATAAAGATCTACGTCCAGACTCCGTCCTACTTAGTATCCAGCCCTCTAAAGTCTCGCAGCTGATTGGATTGCGGCTACGAGCGTATATTTAAGAATAGCCCAACGCCAATTTTCCGACCTTGGCTGTCTAACTACAAACGCTGACCGCGAGAGCAGCTCAGATAAGCTAATATACCTACCCAAGATATAGAGGCTCGTATGGTGCTCTTTCCTACTGAAGAAGAGTGTAGCTTAGGAGGCTTACTGCAAGCTAAGCCAAGTCCGCGGAGGTGAAGGTGTATACTGTATCGTAGCATGGTTGGTCGAGGGAGTACCGCGTTACGACACAATACCAACCGAAAGCCTCGATAATAAAGAGAACCGACAGCTTGTCTAGCTGGACTTTACCCTCAGAGACGAGCTATTCGGTACCAGGTAGCATATTAGATCTTAGATCTGATGAGATGGCTCCTATAATTCCTTTCTTTGGATTATCCTTCTAGGAAGATATCCTTAGGTAGCTGATGAGAAGTATAGTTTGGACTTGTTTACTGATCCACACTATCTATCTCACCTCACCCCCTAAATCACGCGTTGGTCTTATAGGTACTGATCATATACTAATTTTGATTGCAGCTGCTGGGCCATTTCGACATTTAATGCTAGGGTTAGATTAAACTAAAAGGGATCATTAATGCGTTGTATCTTTCCTGGCCACCCTTGAAACTCGTCGTGGGGAATCTGGGGTTCTGGGTAGTCAGACATAACGAGCATAGAAAGAAGTAAGCTTTTCGGAGGAACACTGTATTTTCCAGACAGCAATTAATCCTGCCGCCGCCTAAGTATACATGAAACTTTCCTAGATACCTTTTTCTCTATCCCGCCTGACGCCGTCGCCAACAATTGCGATCTGAATAGTTTCGCAGTGACGAATGTAGAAGACTAGAACATAGAACCGATGTTCGGTTCTATCAGGTATCTTAATGACTTGTGTAGTAGTACCTTATGGGCACTGCCGTTTCTTAGGAGTCGTCGCCATCATGCAATAACGGCTAGAGACCGGCTTCCGGGGGCGTGGGCGGGTTGCGAACTCTAATTTCCATCGTAGCAGAAGCCTTAAGGCTAAAGGGGACCGAAGTCGATGCGTGGTCTCCCCTTTCTAGTTTATTCTCCGCGACGAGGAATATCTAGAAGGTTGCTAGGTGAGATCTGTAAGTTATAGTGATGTAATTTGGTGGGTTCATGAATCTGGCCACTGATCCACGAGCTGGTCTAACCGTCCATCCATTAACGCCTCAGCGTTCATCCGCACGCTATATCTTAGCACCTTAGTCATTTTCTCCTGGAGACCTTCGCCATGATCCGAGATGTCGCTGTTGCTCTTCTTCGGACCGGCTGGGAGATGGATCTGGAACAGTGATGGCTCTACAGTCAAGCAGTTATGGTGACCTCGATCGGGCTCCCCAGTCCCTTCACAGAACCACCTCAGCTCGATATCGAACGCCGAGGTCATATCCTTCAACCCGAGCTCGTATAGGAGTTTCCGCGCCCCCTGTTGCGTGACCGCGTATGCCAGAGAGCAGACGCCGTCTTGCACGTGGTGGACGACCCTTGTGTGGCTCGGATACTGTTGTCTTAAGTCACTCGGCTCGTAGATAGACCATAGATGCTTGTGCTGAGGGACGGTAACGTCGTTGGGGCGCACCACCCGGCCCTTGGGTACGATTTTCTTGTCCGTGAATGGGAAGTGCATTCCGCAGTGGCCAAGCCAGAGCACGTCCCAATGATCACCATACGGGGATTTCTTCGGGGCCGCCGTGGCGGGTAATTTGCCAAAAGTAAGGTCCGGAACAGCCGAGGGACCGTTCCCGGCTTCGGGGAACGTTGGGTCAGTAAACTTAGATGAGCCTGTTAAAGGCTGCGTCAGAGCATGTGCCGACAACGCGAAGTCGTGCATCTGCTCTCTAATCCTGACATCCCAGTCGGCATCGTCTTCCATGATTAACGCCGACGACAGATTTCTCCGAACTACTCTAACGGGAGGTTAGTAAGACGCGAGGGTTCCCGAACTTGGAAGACATTAGGTATTCACGAACTCTTGAATTGCATTAATGTGCGCCCGCCAGGCTCCCAAGGTGGGATTATCTAAACGTTTAAGTTCATGGCTGGTTGGGATGGCCTTGTTAGGTATATCTTTGCCATCGACACCGTCTATGAACTCGAACTCGAAGTTACTGAGGGCTGTCTGGAGTATCATTCCATCGCGGCGATCTGTGCGGGATGGCAGGCCAATGACGAATATCTTTTCGAACTGCGCAGTGACGTTAGATTTGCAAGAAGGTGGTAGTAAATAGATAGGCTTCAACTAACGCCAAGAGTGTTGTTGCGAGTATCGTCGATATCCGCTAACTCGGGCTGTGGGGTTGTCGCTGTCCTTCCAGCGGCGTTGAGGTATGGTACTCCATCTCCCCTAGTGGAGAGAAGGTATACCGAAACGACCAAAAGGGCGCTTACAGCGATGAAGACGGGATAGGAAAGTCGGCGTGCCGACGACATAAGGAAAGACATTGGAAGCGGCAGATCAGCATCCCATGTTTTTAATCAGTATGAAAAAAAAGTTAAATGTGAAATTAGGTAGTTACAGCTTCCCGAAAACTGTAAGTTGCTGCTGTATGTACGATGCTACATACCTACGTATGTACCTAGGTAACCTAGATACATGCAATTAGGTACATGCAAAGAATTAAAATAAACTCAAGGGGGCGATCATTCAACGGATAGGGCGACCTGTAAAATGACGAGTCGCTCAGCTTGCAGTTGCTTGGCCATTTCTCTTTATGCACGCTGGCACGTTGGTAACGTTGGTAACAAACGAGACTGGGAAGGGTTTAGCGCATTCTTCACGCCTTGCTGCTTTGTAGCCTAGTTGTGGATCCGCCGGTACGATCGTAACTACCTCCTGTAGATATACCTAGACGGTGTTGAACTCGCGTGGAAGCCACCATATTAATACATTTTAAACCTGCATTATGACATATGTGCTACCGATATACAGTGCCTTAGCTGTCTTAGTGCTGACATACCAAGTTTCGACTCGCTATGTTACTTTGTTGTTGTGTTGCTGTGCACTTACATCTTAACCTGGATATATCCAAAAATTATTATACTATATGATAACACATCCGTATGTCATGATATAACTAAACGCGGCCTCAATTCAAACTCATCGATTTAATAAAATGGAAGAACTTCAAAGGGTCAAGACGAAGAAAAGAAGAAAAGAAGAAAAGAAAGAAAAAGTCGAGTTGTGTAAAAGCTCTGATGCTGTGCAATGGGTCCAGTCCGAGCAGTCCTAGACTCCCTAGGCGAACCAGTGTTGGTTGTATTTACAACATAGCCGCCAGGATTCAGCTCCACGTTTCAAAATTACTTTTCTTCCCTACTGCAGCCCATGCTTTAAGCCCATGGGGAACATGGTCTAAGTTCTCGAAGCCCTACAGAATTCTCTCTGCTGCTGGACCACTAATGTATTGTGCCATACATACCCATACCCGCATACTCTCCCACCCAAGCCTGGACCTCTTGCTGACAAAAGCCTGTTAGCATTCCGTTCCCAAGTAACTCCCGTCTTCGTTCATCTCTTCCTGATCTCTGGGATAGGAATTTCTTCTGTCTATCCCACACTGTAAACGTTATGGGCTTATGAGGGTCAACATCGCGAACCCCCCTGGCTCCAGAAAGATGATTAGGCCATCATCGCTCATCGCCTTCGTAGCGGTGTTCGCTACCTCGACCGTACAAGCGCAGCAAGACTCGCTCAAGGTTGGCAAGTTCTTCAACCCTCCCAATGCTCTCGACGGGCCAACCGATTATTCGACGAACCCAATATGGACGCTCGGCGAGATACAAACTATCAAGTTCACTACCACATATTCAAATTACACCATTGATCTATGGCAGGAGAGCCGAGATGTAAGTCATGACGTTAAGGCCGTTTCCCTTTCCTGTCTCGGCAGATATTAGAAGCAGTAAACTTCCTAATTAAGCTTATTGACCAATTCTTCCCGAGTCGTGCCTCAAATCTATAAATCTCTTGCAAGCATGGTCGCTAACTCCAATCGCTACAGGGTGGCTCTGCATCAGCTGGACCAAGCATATTCCGTAAGGAGAATATCATATAACCTTTTCCCAAGACGTGACAACTGACTTGAGCAGAGACGCGGTCTGGTGCTGTAACTCAATTTGACTGGTCGGTCCAGGCATTCGAGTTCGACTTATCGAATTTCGACGTATTTTTCCTCTGGCTGTCACCTTTACAATCGGATGACCCGAACCCGCTCTCCGTCACCTCGCGTTACTTTAACATCACAAGAGCCCCCGCTAGTACGACCACATCTTCATCGTCGACTAGTGCCTCTGGTTCATCTAGCACTAGCCCGCCATCCAGCAGTGCTACCCAAAGTACCACCTCACTACCCATTGTGTCACCAACGGCAAACCCCGACAATGGCTTAAGTGCCGGTGCTTCAGCTGGTATCGGTGTCGGCGCCGCCCTTGTAGTTATCGCCCTTGTAGCAGGCGGCTTCTTTTTGTGGAGGAGACGGAGGAATAGTAACAACTACCAAACGCCTACAGCCGCCGCCGCTGCTACGGGCCCTAATCATAACGACGATCTGCCAGAGATGCCAGAGGTGACACAACTTTCAGCGCAGAAACCGCCATTATATCCCGTGGAGCTGGAAAGTGGCGGATACCCCCCTCAGTACTACCACCCCGAGAGATCCGAGAGGGTTGAACTTGACGGAACACGCCGCTCTGAACTCGATGGAGGCCACTAAATCTCTGATTTACGTGCTGGTTTGGTTAATTTGTTAGCGACACGAAAACGGAAATCGAAGGGCTGTTTGATAGAATAGACTCTTGTTTCAAACCGAAACACGGCCTTATCCGAGGTGCTTGGAAACGCATGTAATTCTAGACGGCGCGGACTGGATGCGATGATGCATTAGCGGATTTGGATACTAATGTACATATTTACAGATACTACAATACCCCCTTTTTATATACCCTTAATATTACTAGGGAATATTATCATTTCTATCCGCTGGCAAGGCGGTTTTCAGCGGTTGGGCTGTATTCAAGAAATCTACTCAGCTTTATGATATCCGGGTTCGAAGTTGATTTATTGATGTTGTATAATATACGATTAGGTTGCATACATAGGTACCTAGTATGTAGGTACTGTTGTCATACCCTCCCTACCTACATGTACCTTATAGTTTTCGTGACACGTGACTTCCGCGTCAGCCACCGAGAAGTGTGCTTAACAGATTAGGTTAGAGTTCTTAGGTATAGGTCACGATAAGGCGGGAAATATATGCGGCTTTGAACGTGGCTAGCTCGGGAGGCGTAGCTAAGATAAATAGTGCCGTATAGATAGCGACGTTCTTTCGAAATGTCGTATTTGGCATAACAAGTAACTCATAGAAATATTATAACAAATAGATGAGGGCCATTAACTCTATAAGAGCCTTAGCTCACCGTTAGCCAAACCAAGCCATAACCGAACTTCAGTATATCTACCTACCTTCCAAGGGCAGCATCACACAAAATCTCGTATAGCTTCCGACCCGATCGTCACACAGCAGCCTTCACGTATCCGTTCATAAGAAGCGTTCAAAACACCTTCTGGGTTATCAGAAAACTATTTATCAGAAGATGAGACGATGCCATTCATCCCAAACGCTAGGCTCATGCAACGATGCCGAAAAGAAAAGATTCTCCGTGATTATTCCATGACAATGCGATGACGTAACACACACACACCCTATATACCCGAGCCTCAAGTGGTCTCGCTACAATATATACCTATTACTCCTAAGAAAATATAGTCTCCAAATTAGAAGGAGAAACAATAAAAAGAAAAGGAAGCCTAGCGATTGTGCTCCTTCTCCTCCAGTTCGCGCATATACTTCACAAATCTCTTCTTGTGAGTCTGCGTCGGTCAGTATTTAATATTATCAAGATGGTGATAGGCATAGAGACTTACCATTCCGGCGTAGCATCCCTCTCTCAACGCGCAGATATATCGTAAGCCGAGCTTCGCAAAGCATTCGTACACCAAGTCCATGGGGGAATTAATATCTAAAGCAAACGGAGCTGGGTCTATGTAGGGGGTGAAATCGGTAGTACCCCGCCCCGGAGACTCGTCTTCGTCGATGTTTGGTATATTCGCCATGAGACAGAAGCTAGAGCTCTCCTCCTCGAGGTTATCCAAGGCATATTCCAAGTCAGGGGCCGGGATCAGGCCGACGAGGATGTCATCCCTAACAATTGGTAATCCTCCATCCAACTCACCGGCCCGATGAAGCATTTCGAGTTGGTCACGGAGTTGTGTGGCCGGGACTAGCGGCGAGTCACTTATATCAATGACACGTTCCCGGCGAACGCGGGGTACTATATCAGCAAACTCGGAGGTGAAGACCGGTTTATGTTTGTTATCCAGATATGGATAAGCATTCATGTTAATAAGGAGGTCGTAGATACTGAGCGGCTCCAGGGCATCCGCTGTCCATTTAGCAACAAGAATAGCCAAGGAGAAAGGCAGGACGTAGTCCATGCTTCCGGTAAGTTCGAAGAGGATGACCGCGAGGGTGACGGATAATCTCGTTACGCCACACATTGTTGAACCCGCAGCAATGAGTGCATACACGCCGGGTTGAACACACGTAGACTCTTGAAGAAGCGGACAGGTACCCCAGATGCTCCAGTGTGGAAACCGAAGTACTATCCATTGAACAAGATGACCAACGACCCTGCCCATGAGGCCACCGACAACCATAGAAGGGACATAGATACCGGCAGGAACCTTAATACCAAACGTGATGGTTGTCAAAAACGTCTTGATGATAAAAGCGGCAAGGATGTTTCGAATGATCCCAGGTATCTCATCAATATTCGATGGACATAGCCCTAACTCAGAATCCCTGCTGTCGTCTTGGCACGGTGCAGCAAGGTTCAACAAGAGCTTCGCTACCGGAAGCTTAGTTAAGGTGTTCCAATACCCTATGAGTCCAGTTACCAGCGCTACCAGCACAACCTCGAACAGTGGATATTTCTTGATGACTGGAATCTTACGGAAAGATAGAGCCCAACGACGCGAAGCCTTGATAAAAAGAGCACCGATAGCACCGCCTAGTATTCCCACTAAGATGAAGCCGAATAACTCAAACCACTCCCAGTCGATTTTGTACCGGATCTCGAACATGACGATCTTGTGAGTGCCATACGGGTTAAGAAACTTCAAGGTCAGAGCTGCGACTATACAGCAGAAGAAGGTACGAAAAAGCG